TAAACTAAGAAGGCCATGTTGTTATAATCCAAGGACTATTAAAATTATGCTTGGTAAAAACAGAAGATATGGAACCAGATATTAATAGAACAAAATTGATGTGACATATTAAGTCTAAATTGGTGAACAAAATAACGAAAGGGATAATCTATGCAGCCCTTTTTGCATTTTATAAAAAGAGACTGAAAAAACATGATCAGTTCAGTTCAGCCCTCCCCCTCATCTCCTGTCCAACCTTGCATCACAGCTCCCCTCGTCTCATCCCCCAAACTGCCAGCACTGGAACTCATCGCAGCTCAGCTGAAGGAGTTCCTTCCTGAGAAGGCGGCTGGCTGGCTTGCTCATTTAAGGAACTTCATTTTCACCTGTAAGTGCTGAAAGTTATCACATTACTATGACATACAGTCCTCAGCCCATCAGTGGGGATATCGAATTACCAGCACTGCAAAGGCTTGTAAGATATTGTATTGTATACTCTTCCCTTGCTGTGTTATTTTCTGCCCACTGTTTTTCCTCCTATCCTATCACACTCATCAGTTATACTACAATCATCCAAATCTGCCTTCTCTAAGGAGAAAATATCCAATCAAATGACAGGCCTGACAGATCATAACCAAGGTCCAAGCAGCATGCGTTGTGGAAGACTTGCCAGCCATCCAGTGTTTCAAACATATCAACAATGTATTTTAACCATCTTTTCTATCCTGTGTCTCCTCTACCTTGTTAAGAACAGGATAAGTAAATGCCCTCTACACATCAGGACTGGGAGTAAAATTAACCCTTTTCCTTTTCATCAAAGAAAGGGAGTTCTGAAAATAAGACTGATGGTCTGCCTCCAAAAGGAGAAAAACTTGAAAGGTTTTGACTGTTTTGCACACTCAACCACAGTTTCAGTATAAATGCGTTTTAATTTCTTGTTCTTTCTTGTGTTTAATAATTTTTTAATCTGAATGAATGCTTTTGGCTGTGCCATATAACCAAGTAAAACCAAGGCCTTGCTGTTTAAAAGAACCCATTTCATGTTGGAGAGTGAAATCTATAGACACCTTTAGGTCTTTAAGATCAATATCCTTTGACATCAATATCAATGTCCACAGGGGACAGGACTGATTTTGAGGTTTGGGGTAGAATTGCTGGGCAGGTAATGGTCAGATGTGGGGGTGAAAGCTCCTGCAGCAGGAGCCAAAAATCAATTTTACCCCATAAATTTGGGAATAGGCAACAATTATTTCTCACACATGGGACAGGCAGGGATAGTTCAAAAATCAAGACAGATCAGAAAACAATATATGTTAAAAAACATGATATTTGGGGACTGACTCATGATTTTTGATTTTTTGAGGTTGGCAATACTGGAGCCAGGTCTTGAGCTGCTCTAAAGGTCCAGCTCACCCTGTAACAGGTTCCTTTTATGGTATTATCCCAGTGGTTCTCAAACTTTTGTACTGGTGACCCCTTTAACATAGCAAGCTGCTGAGTGTGACCCCCCTTATAAATTAAAAACACATTTTTATATATTTAACACCATTATAAATGCTGGAAGCAAAGCAGGGTTTGGGGTGGAGGCTGACAGCTCGCGACTACCCCATGTAATAACCTCCCGACCTCCTGAGGGGTCCCGACCCCCAGTTTGAGAACCGCTGTATTATCCAAATTGGTGATTTTCCTACTGAAATAGGAAGACCCTCAGACCTCTAACGGGATCCATCACTTGGTTCTAATTCTAGAATATTGTAAAATGTCAGGCTTCAAAGTCATGACGTCTTTATGAACAAAGTCCATTTTAAGTCACATTTAGTGGTTTTAACTTTATCAGCTTTAATTTCAGTCATGTACAGTTGGAATTGTAACTAAGGCAAGTGTCTTTCCAGGCAGAGGCCTACTTCCAATACAATTTTAAAACTCAAGCATTCCTAAAGGTTTTTTGGTAAAATGTGATGTATACAAATTACATGAAATTGTGACAGATTTTATTGGCTATTAATTGGGATAACCTACATAAAACCAGGTTTCAGAGTGGTGATTAGTCTCGTTATAGTTGGTATGGCAACACCCATTTTTTTCATGTTCTCTGTGTATATATATATATATCTTCCTACTGTATTTTCCACTGCATGCATCCGATGAAGTGGTTTTAGCCCACGAAAGCTTATGCCCAAATAAATTTGTTAGTCTCTAAGGTGCCACAAGTACTCCTCGTTCTTTCTACATAAAACCACTAATTGTTCATGCCACATCATCATTTTCATGTTTTATTTATAGACATTTTAATTTATTTGTAGTATAGTAGTACCTAGAAACTCTAGTCAAGGATCCTGGAATTGTGCTAGACACCACAGTTATGAAGACAGACAACACTTAATCACATTATTAAGTCTGTAACATTCCACATACACACAAAAGAACCAAAAATCAGGATTGTATGTAGTACATAAATAGATTAAGAAACATTAGCAAAATTGATGCAATATAGGAAGTTTCCTCTCCATTTTAAAGTTACGGTTGAGTGATTTCACTTAAGATAAAGGCAAATTTAATGAATCACATTATCCTTCACTTGAGGATAACATAGGAGGTCTTTGTGATACCACAGGGTAAGGAACTTTTTATGTTGGTGAGGGTCACTTCTTGCCTTATGTTACTGTTTAGAGTTAATCCCTACCAGAACCCTTAAAAGTATAATTAAAGAACTATATACTGACTTCATTCTGCTTTACTGGTTTAGATACAAAGAGGAGTCCTTGTGGCACCTTAGAGACGAACACATTTATTTAGGCATAACCTTCCTTAGGCTAAAATCCATTTCATCAGATCCATGGAGTGAAAAATACAGTAAGCAGTATATGTATGAAAAGAGGGGAGTTGCCTTACCAAGTTGGGGGTCAGTGCTAACGAGGCCAATTCAATTAAGGTAGAAGTGGCCTATTCTCAACAGCTGATTACTTTTGTAGTGCTAACGAGGCCAATGCAATCAAGGTGGACGTCGCCCATTTCCAACAGTTGACAAGAAATGGAAAAACTGACCATTGTAATGTACCATATTCAGACTGTTGCTATGGTTTAAAAAAAATATGCAACTACTGTATTACTTTTTTGAATATTTACACTACTCGTTTTGCATCAAGGTAAGAACATGAGGCTAAGCTTTTCGAACTGTGTTCTCTTTGATCCATTCACATTTGAGGACTTTGCCTTCTTGAAAGCCACATTTTTAAAGAATATAGACATGAAAATCAGACACTGACTGCAGCTTAAGTTGTACACCTCAGCGTATGAAACTCTCTCTACAAGATGGTGCACAACATGAGTAGTTCTTCCTGCAGAACTCAAACCATGATCATACTCTCACTGAGGAGGGATTTGAAGCCTCACTTTGGTTTGAGGCCACCAAAGGCACTTGGAGCTTGGTGATGCATACTAAGTTTTACTCCTGATATCATAGTACAGAAGACCTAGGTATCCCTAATAGCAACAGAGCTCACTCAAAAAGAACAGGAATACTTGTGGCACCTTAGAGGCTAACAAATTTATTTGAGCATAAGCTTTCATGGGCTACAGCCCACTTCATCGGGTGCATAGAATGGAACATATAGTGAGGAGATATATATACACACACATACAGAGAACATGAAAAGGTGGGAGTTGTCATACCAACTCTAAGAGGCTAATTAAGAGAAAAAAAATTTGTAGTGATCATCAAGATAGCCCATTACAGACAGTTTGACAAGAGGTGTGAGAATACTTAACATAGGGAAATAGATTCAATGTGTGTAATGGCTCAGCCATTCCCAATCTCTATTCAAGCCCAAATTGATAGTGTCTAATTTGCATATTAATTCAAGTTCAGCAGTTTCTTGTTGGAGTCTGTTTTTGAAGCTTTTCTGTTGCAAAATTGCCACCTTTAGGTCTGTTACTGAGTGGCCAGAGAGGTTGAAGTGTTCTCCTACTGGTTTTTGAATGTTATGATTCCTGATGTCAGATTTGTGTCCGTTTATGCTTTTGCGTGGAGACTGTCCGGTTTGGCCAATGTACATGGCAGAGGGGCATTGCTGGCACATATCACATTGGTAGAAGTGCAGGTGAACGTGCCCCTGATGGCGTGGCTGATGTGATTAGGTCCTATGATGATGTCACTTGAATAGATATGTGGACAGAGTTGGCATCTGGCTTTGTTGCAAGGATAGGTTCCTGGGTTAGTGTTTTTGTTCAGTGGTGTGTGGTTGCTGGTGAGTATTTGCTTCAGGTTGGGGGGCTGTCTGCAAGTGAGGATAGGTCTGTCTCCCAAGATCTGTGAGAGTGAAGTCACTTACTACAAGACAGGCCCAACAAAGAAAATAACAGAACGCCACTAGCCGTCACCTTCAGCCCCCAACTAAAACCTCTCCAGCGCATCATCAAAGATCTACAACCTATCTTGAAAGATGATCCCTCTCTCTCACAGATCTTGGGAGACCGACCTGTCCTCATTTACAGACAGCCCCCCAACCTGAAGCAAATACTCACCAGCAAACCACACACTACTGAACATTAGTTTCCCCTATAAAAGCTAGTCCATTCCTGGATTGTCAGATGAACATGCTGCCTTCCACATGTCAGGACCTAATATTTCAAAAGAAAAGGCAAGCAGGAAAATTTAAAAATTACTTTTAAGAATTTGAGGCAGCTGCTATAGATCATAAAGGAACAGTAAAGGGCAGAAAGTTGTTTTTGCTTCACCCCTCACCTCACAGGGGTTTCCCTTTATTGTGTTTAAGTGGGAAGGGGTCAGGCTCCACAATACATATAATCGCATGAAACCTGGTAGTTACTCCATTTGCTAGAATGATGTGTTGGGAATAGATTTATAAAACAAGAATGCGTCTGTCTTAATACCCACTAACCATACATGAATGGCAAAACAAGAGAAAAAAGTCAAATAAATGATGTGAAAAATAAAGACATACTGGTTCCTAAGAAAATTTCTTTTATTTTCATTTTATGGAAATACATTTTTCATTTTTATTTCCATGATACAAAAATGTTAAATATCAAAGTTTCTGAAATCTACCAAAGCAGATTTTTTTTTAAATGAATAAAGGGCTGGTACAGTTTGCAGGTTTGTCACAGGTTTCAAAAACATTTTTACAAAAAACACAAACCATGGAAAACCAGATCAAGACTTAAGAGTGAAAACAGCAAAGAAAACCCACCTCCTCCCAACATTAATTTCTCTCTTTCTTTCTTTTTCTCTATTTTTTTAAGGAAAGTATAAGTTAAATTTTTCCAAGAGGACAAAAGGATAGTATATGTGTAGGATTAGTTTCCAGACAGATACTGGCTGAAGTCTTCCTACTGGGGAAAAAGGACAACACTGTAAAGTTTCCAGGGTAACTGGTAGAAAGCAGTAACCGATACTGAGGTTTATCTGTTCAGGACTACTGATAGTGTACTGAAATTGCCCGAACATCTGAAGATGAGAAGACTTGTGTGATAACTCCCCTCAAGCACAGGAAACAGCCTAACAAAATTCATAATGGTGCTGATTCTTTTTGTATATTTCATAGCCAACATGCCATAATAGGTGACCAAAACACATTTAGTTTTGCTTCTTAAATCTAACATTGTTTACGACAGCAAAGATTTCACATGATCAACAGACAGAATTGTAAACTAGTTAATATACGAGTAAAACTGACTGATTGTTCAGTAGACAGTTTAAAAAATTAAACTGATTTTCAGGAGACAGACTTCTTTTTTAACACCACTTTTTATTTAAATTAAGTATGGCTTCCAAGTGGTATACTCTTGCAATTGCTTTGAATCAGCTTCACTTTTTATTAATACAGATGTTGGCTACCACGTGTCAGGAACTTCAAAGAGTTCTGTGGAACCGCTTGTGATGCTTCCTAAGAGAAGAGAAAGATATTTACAACATTAAAAAGTACCATCTCAAAATATTTAGGTGGACTAAGCCACCTTAAAATAGAACAAGCTGTAGCATAATACTTGCAATTCAGGGTAAATTTATAATGCTATAGTTATATGGGGAAAATCCTCAAAGCAAAAATCTACATTTATACCATTATATTTAGTAGTCAATCTTAAGTGTGTCAGAACTATGAAAAGTATGATTATAAACAAATCAAGCTTTGATCCTGGATAAATTGTTAAGTTTCAGCTTTAACTGTTGGTTTTTTTGTTTGGCGTTTTTTTGGGGGAGGTGTGGGGGCATTTATGGGTTTAACAAGTGCAGCACACATGGCATGCATCACCAATCACAATTTGCAGACTGCCACGTAAGCAGTACTCTAAACAGTAAGACCAAGCATTCTCAGTGCAGACACTTCCTTAAAATGTGAAGCTTGTTGGTAAAAGTTTACCAAATTTTTTTTTAACCTGGATTTTAAAAGACTCATTACCTGTTTAAACCAAGAGTCAGAGACCTTCACTCATACTCTTTCACATTGTGCAAAGAAACTTTACTTCAGAGTGGGTTTTTACAGCTGGAATTAGCAAGTCAGAAGAGACGACTTTCTAATTGGAACCCTAACAGACCCTGCCTTGATTGCCGGGGTGCTCTCAAAGACTAAAAACAAGACAAGATGGAAGACTGGTGAAACCCTTCTCACCAGATGAAATTATAAGGTAACAAAGCAATGATCCTGGCAAATCATCAAGTGACATTTAAGTACTTTATGGACTTTATATTTTCATACAGTATTTTGCAAATCAGATCTAATTTTATTAAAACAGATGCAGCGGCATATTCAGTTTGTAGCTGCAGCATCAAAATTATAATAAATAAAATTGTTAGCGGTACTATCCTACCTCCAAGAATCTGTAATGGGACATGTGCTGTTCAATATATGCATACATGATCTGGAAAAGCAGATAAACAATGAAGCGGTGCCAAAATCTGCAGATGCTACTAAATTACCCAAGATAGTTAAGTCCAGAGCTGACTTTGAAGAGTTTCAAAGGGAGCTAACAAAACAGGGTGACTGGGCAACACAAGGGTAGATGAAATTCAATATTAATGAGTGCAAGTAACACACATTGGAAAATATAATCCCAACTACACATACAAAATGATGGGGTTCTAAATCATGAATAGTTCTCTAAAAACATCTGCTCAATGTGCAGGAGCAGTCAACAAAGCTAACAATGTTAGGAACCATTAGGAAAGGGATATATAAGGCAGAAAAGATCAGAATGCCACTTTATAAAATCCATGGCACACCCACATGTTGAATACTGCGTGCAGTTCTGGTCTCCACATCTTAAGAAAAAAAAAAGACATTAGAACTGGAAAAAGTAAAGAAAAGAGCAACAAAAATGATTAGGGACATGGAACAGCTTCCATACAAGCCGTGTTCTTAGAAAAGAGATGAACAAGGTGGGGGCATGGGATATGATAGAGGTCTAAAAAATCATGAATGGTGTGGAGAATGTGAATAGAGAAGCATTATTTACTCCTTTCCATAACACAAGAACTTGTGGGAGGTGTGGGGGCATTTAAATAAATGTCACCCAATTAAATAAATAGGCAGCAGGTTTAAAACAAGCAAAAGGAAGTATTTCTTCACACAACGCACACTGCCAGAAGCTGAACTGGATGACTGAGGATGAGGATCACTTGAAATTGCCGTTCTGTTCATTCCCTCTGAAACATATTGTGCTGGCCACCGTCGGAAGACAAGATACTGCGCTAAACATATAAGATTTAAGAGTTCAGTAGTCTTTGTAAGACTAATAAAATACAATTTTTGCCAAACATTAAGGTCTTGTTTATATTGCTTTGATTGTAAAAAAGCCCAGAAGACTTGGAATATTTTTCTCTGTTTACATTTTTAAAGATTAATACATATAATATTTTAATTCATTTTTAAGGTCTGAAACTCTGTTTAATACCTTTTATAGCAAGTCTCCATAAACTACATTATTACGTGACCATGTTGTGACCTTAGGAGCCCTCAATGTCAACTGGCAAAGGGCTCACTGTCATATAACAGCAATTTCTGTCAGGCCTCACTACATTTAACATATTGCTGTCATAATATTTATCTATAAAGAATGTCATGTAAGGTATCTAATGAAAGCTTGTATCATACTAATCATCAGAAGTACTGCGAGATGCATGTACGGTGTTATTCAAGAAGTTGTATGTATGTACTAAGCTATGTACTACCAGGCAGGGTTCAGAAACCAGTTTTTCCCAGACAAGGAATATTGATATACCTGTCTTCCTAGATATCTGATGTAAATTATGCAGGATAAGCCTGATACAATGGGAGTTCATTTGCATCTGATGTAAACAGGACGATTTAGGAGGATGAGAAAGCAGCATGGAGTCAGCACAATGAAGCTCAAGCCCCTGGGAAGAAGGATATTAACTAGGGATACACTGATATATTTCAACAGTTTGATGGACTATAAGAAGGGAGAAGAATCCCTTTGTTATCCATCAGTGAGGAAGAAAAAAGTACACTGCTTTCATGAATGAAAGTTGGATCATGGCTCTGGGACTGGTGACTCAGAGGTTGCTTCATGTGAGAAACTTATTTTAGACAAAGGTTTTAGCCTGTTAAAAGTTATGACTAATTTCTTAAAACAAAAGTAGAACATGCTTCTATTTGTAACCATCACTGTTTCCATTATTCTTATTCAATACTCACTTGAATCTAGGAAATGGGCAGCAGGTTTAAAACAAATAAAAGGAAATTCTTCACACAGTGCACAGTCAACTTGTGGAAGTCCTTGCCTGAGGACGTTGTGAAGGCTAGGACTATAACAAGGTTTAAGAGAGAACTGGATAAATTCATGGAGGTGAAGTCCATTAATGGCTATTAGGCAGGATGGGTAAGGAATGGTGTCCCTAGATTCTGTTTGTCAGAGGTTGGAGATGGATGGCAGGAGAGAGATCACTTGATCATTACCTGTTAGGTTCACTCCCTCTGGGGCACCTGGTATTGGCCACTGTCGGTAGACAGGATACTGGGCCAGATGGACCTTTGGTCTGACCCAGTACAGCCATTCTTATGTTCTTATGAAAATCTGTTCTTTGTTAATAAACCTAATTTTCCTTTTAATAAACCATCATCTCAGTGCTATACTAAGTAGAGCATGCTTTCTCAGCTGAATCATGTAAACTGGTGTGTACACTTCTCTCTGAAGGCAGCAGACACATGCTTCCTGGATTTAATAACTGTAGATACATTTATAAGTTAGCAATTGTTTTTATATATACACATTTTTTATCTTGAGCTGATTTTTTATATTGTATATATTTTTTTTTACAGTCTTTAACCCAATTCACTTTTTTATATATATATAAAAAATGTAATGCTACAAACAAAATTGTACATGGTAAGTGAGTTGCGTTAAAGACTGTAAATTAAGATTGAGAATGACACCATTACCACATCAATTTGAGCATTAGTAAGGAAGATTGTCTGATGGATTCATTTATTTACTACATTTGTGCTAGGAAAGAGACCTGACTTCTCTTCCTTTGATCTTGTATTTTTTTAAAAACATCTCTAAAGCACCTCTATACATAAGGGGTCAGTGCATCATACAAGATTTCTAAAGACAAAAAGGGGTAAAGAAAAATGAAGCCAAGAGAGGCCATTCTATAAACAACTTTTAAGTTCTCCTTACAAGTAGGAGAAATAGAAGTAAGGTAGGAGCAACTTCACCATACAAAGGCTCACCACAACAAAAATGCAATTGCCTGTAAAATTCAGGCACAGCAGTGTAGGTGCACAGAGACCCAACAGAATCTGAAGAAACCTGCTGCTGCTTTCTGAAAAAGCTTCAAGGGTTAAAGCAGTGGTTTTGTAAACCCCAATAGGATAGAACTGTAAAAATTAGATTAGTGGTCAGGAGGCCATGTGCAGCTGTTGCAACTTTTTCAGACGATAGGAGCATAGCCTGCACGAGTTGCACAACCAGACACACCCAACTCATGCTTTCCATGCAGAGAGCTTTGGCCAAAGATGCCACATTTCTACAGCAAACAGATTCATGGCCTGCCCAGTGATAAATATGTTCTTTGTAGACAAACAAACAGTACTTAGGACATTTCTTGAAGATACTGTGCTGCTTGGAAAGATTAGCAGTAGGAGATAGACAGGAGCAGACTAACTCCATAATCAAAGTCTGTTGCTATTTTATCCAACTTTGTTTTTCTACAGCTAGCAGTGTGTATGGCACCTATCATGCAGCAGTGGTCAGGGTTGGGAAGAAAACACCAGCTGATTCAACTGCTGTATTTCAAGTAAGTGGCTTTGATGTGCAGGCTCAGAGGACAACTTGGAGAGCCTATGGAACTTCAATGTTGAGTTTTTCATTTGAATTAGAATGTAAATGAGATTTTTACATGGAAATTCTGGAGCTCGGTATGCCAGGGATACAGTATTACTTTCTGGATAAGAATTATTAGAGCAAGAACTGAAGTGACATTTGAGCTAAGACATTCTGATGTAAGATGAAAAATGTATCACTTTCGATACAGGTAGTTCTCAGCATGACCAGGAATTGAGCACCTGAATTATAATTTACAGCAGGAATTAGATATAAAGCAGAGCCCCTATCTCAGAACCTCTCAGGACACTGTAGACAGAAATATAACGTTAAGGTATTCCCTTCTTAAATACAAATATAAAATTCATTGATTCATAAATTCCAAGGCCAGAAGGGACCATTGTGATCAGCCAGTCTGATCTTCTGCATAACAAGCCGTAGAACTACCCCCAAAATCTTTCCAAGAACACAGCTTTTAGAAAAACAACCAATATTGATCTAAAAATCATCAGTGACTGAGAATCCATCACGACCCTTGGTAAATTGGTCTGATGTTAAATTATCCACACTTAAAAATGTATGGCTTATTTCTGGTCAGAAT